CAACAAAGATAAAACAGTATATTCCCTCCCCCCTTAAAACATTATTAAATCAGATATCAATTAAAACAATAACAGATTTATTAAATATAAAATTTAAATGCAAACCGATAACCCCCCCCCCCCAAAAACCCCATCACTTCTATTTTTTGGGGCTATAGAAGCACTGTAGAGGGGGAGAGGAGGAGAGATCCTGAGGCCGGGATATTTAGTCTGGAAAGGCCTGCCAGAAAAGATCCGTTTTGACAGCTTTTTTAAAACGGTCCAGAGATGTTAACTGACGGATCTGATCTGGCAGGTCGTTCCAGAGCCTGGGGGCAAGAACAGAGAAAGCCCTCTGGGAGGTAGCTGAGAGCCTCGATTTTTGACGCTCCAGGAAGTTCCTCACAGTGAAGGTAATTGGCAACAAGGTCTTAGAGTAGGTAGTCCTCAAGAAACAGGTTTCAAAGTGCTTAATGGATCTATGAGCATTGAGGGCAAAATTAATTAAAGCCAGGGGTGATCTTGGAGGTTTTTAAAAAGAATATGAAGTTCTCTGTCAAAGCAAAATGGATTCCCTGAAGTATAAACCTAGTCAAAATATCCTACACAGCTAAATCTGATATTCATTGTAGGTACTAGATAAATACAGTAGCCCTGAGACTAACAGTCTGTGCAGACCAACCTAAGCGTCTGGTCTGGGGATGGAGTTGGGGCGGATCGACCACACACCAGCCGTTCCGACTCTTCCCCAATTCCGCTGCCACACTGCATGCCCCACCATATGGCGAACAGTATCAGGGCACCCCGTTGGCACAGCATGCAGACACACTGTGCCAAAGAGGTGCAAAAGAGCCACTGTGGCAGTGCTAAGGGTGACTTTTTGCCACCTCAAAAAGGAGCGGCATTTGCCATTTCTTTTGAGAGCAGGAAAAAGCTGGATCGGGACCATGGCTTGTGGTTGCTGCGGCCCCGATCCAGCGCTCCTAGGGGCGGCACAGAGCCACCCCTTAGGGTCCGTCTGTATGATCTCTAAGGTGTGAACTAGGAACTTGAATTCACAAATCAAATCTGATCCCCACCATAAATCCATTAATTGGCCCTAGGAATAGGGCTTGCTCTGAGTCTCTCTAATTCTCACTTGACCTACAATATGAGGATAATCAATACTGTAACCTACCTTGCAAATTTTGCTTTAAAGATTGCTGAGTTACTATATATAAAGCATTTTGTTCACCCTCAAACCTCTATATACATTATTTTCAGCCATTAATACTTATCTTACCCATCCTCTTTTCTTGAGCTGTGTGACAATAGAACAGACTCTCCCTTGTTGGAGTTTTTTTTTAAAACAGAGCTTGGATGGCCATCTCTCAGGGGTACTTCAGGAGTAGATTCCTGCACTGCAGAGTGTTGGATTAGATTGCCCTTGGGCTTCCTTCATGCTGTGATTCTATGATATTAGGAGTCAGTCACACCACTCTGGTGCTCCTTACTCCATTTCATGATGAAATGGGTTTCAAGTGAGCTAAGGTTGTCTTTTCCTTAGCTAGTTGCGAGGAAGCAGATGGGGGTGGCAGAAACAACAGGGTGTGCCCACTTTTGGCTCTGGTTCCTCATGAACCCAGCATGTGATTCCTGGCAACAGGGAACCCCAGGGAATGTGGCCTTCAGATGTCTTCCTTCAGCTGGAGTAAATGAATTAAGAGATATAAGACTGAGTTTGAACCCACTCAAAACTATGTTCATTCTTTTTGTGTAGAATGGTAAAACTTAACTGCCATTTTATCTAGGCTTAGATTTGGCAGGTCAGGACTGCTCCAGTCTCTGAGAACTCAAGACCAAAACCTGAGACCTAGGAATGATCTCTCCTTTTGATTCCATAGGGCTGGACCCTGTGATGTTACAAGCATGATTACTTGGTAATGTCACAAAGCGTGATACATTAAGTATCAACCACAGTTGTACAAAGTATACCATTCAAATAAAATACCATTAGTTATATTTTCCAATTAGAAAAATATATATTAACAAAATACTTCTCCTGTCAGTACTTACCCTGAAATTCCTTATCCTTGTCCTGGGACTGGGGAAGAGAGTCCAGATCTGAAATCTGGAAACCCTAGTCAGTCCTTTTGAGTCAGGTTAGAGTGAACAACTTCATCCAGAAAATGGAGATTTGAACCGAACTTCTAAGTTACAAATCCTATGCAGTTGCTGGAGCAACCAGGGCTGCATCTATACTGCAGAATTAATGCAGTTTGACAGCACTTTAACTGCCATGGCTCAATGCTATGGAATTCTGGGATTTATAGTTTTGTGAGCTATTTAGCCTTCTGTGTAAGAAAGCTCTGGTGCCACAACAAATTACAAATTCCAGGATTCCATAGGATGGAGCCATGACAGTTAAAGCAATGTCAAACTGCATTAATTCTGCAGTGTAGCAGCAGCCTAGGAGAGGTGGCCACAAATGCATTTGCCAAGTCACCTAACTGCAACTTCACTTTTAGTTGTGGATTTCCCAACTTTCTCTAGCCCCTTTTTTTCCATCACAGAGAACTCTGACAGGGAGAGGCAATCTTTTGCTTTGTAATGAGAGTCTTGCCCAGAATTTGGACAAATGACTTTTTTCTACTACCATTCTCACAGTCCTGTGAGCTAAACAGTAGTCCAAAAAAGTAAGTTTTCAAAACTCTGGTCTTGTCAGCACCCAGGTTTTGGGGAGAAGAGCTTGTCTCCCCATTCTGTGCTTTGGGAAAAGATAGAAAAAGTGAGAAGTGGTCTTGTTGTGCCAAGAAATGAAGGAAGGAAGAAGAGTGAGAGAAGCACTTGCATTGTTTTTAACCTTCTCCTGAGTTGAGAGAAACGGGAGGACTCTCTAGCTTCACCCTACATTTCTCTGCCAGGGACCATGAATAATTTTAATAAGTAAAGCTCCCCTGCACCCAAATGTGTGTGAACATGGTGTGATGTTTTGAGTGCTAGGCTTTTTAGATTGCAAATCAGATGTCAACAGAGAAATAGTAAAATGTTCCACAGTGGCACTTTTTTTCCAGAACCAACAGGAGCTCTGGTCACAGGAGATAAGACCTTCTCTGACCTGCTCCTTCCTTTAGCAGTTTACATGTTAATTAGCTCTTTTATACTGCATACAGACCCACAGAGCATCAATTCATTAACTGAACAATGTCCAATTATCCCAGCTTAGAGAGCGAGAAGCAGGCCGCTGGCACGTGGACACTGCAACCGCAGCCAAACAGCTCCTTGAACTTACTTGGCTTGGGCCAGCAATGCCGCTTGAGGGGAATTTGAGACATGTCAGCACTTTCAGCTGAACCTCCCCTAAGAAAGGCAGAATTCCTCACAAGTTAAGATCAACTTTGTTTCCAACACCGTGCACCATTACCCCTGAGCAGAGCGATTAAGAAGAGCAGAGAGGTTAAGAAGTGATTCAGAGGTTAAAAGCCACACTTTCAGCTAGGGGTCTGCCTTTTTTCTCTAGCAAGTCCATGCTGAGTTTTAGAAAAGTTGGCACAGATCAACTTCTAATAGTGGAGGGCAATAGAAGACAATTGCTGACAAATAGGTCCTAGTGCTAAAAGGAAAAATAGTAGTGCCTGTTGCACAGTTGTTCCCTCTTTCTCTCCTTAGTGGATATGCTGTGATTAAAAAATAAATGAAAGGAGAAGTAGAAAAAACACAACAGAGGGCAGGTTGCAAATTGGAAGATGTTTCCTGGCTCCTTCATAAAATTCTGGGAATGAAGTACAATAGAAATCTCCTTTGGAAACACCTTTAGTAGCAAATGGTCTGCAAACCAGACTTTGGAAAAGTTAATTTTGGATTTTTCCAAAATTATGAAATGGTCACTAGGGACAAGGGAGTTCTGGGAGCAATGCGCCAAAAAAAAAAAAAAGAGTTTGTTTTCCAAGCATTTCTGCACACAGTTGTAAAATGCTGATCTCTGCACACTTCTATTTCTCTCAGAGATTTAAAAGCAGTCCCTCTTCTTAAATTTACTCTCCCTTCTGAGATCATCATCATTTGGATATATTTAATAGGAGCTCTGTCCTGCTTACTAGATGTCTGAAAGAGAAATAATAGGACATTTCAAACTTTGATCCTAAAATATTTTTCACTGAACAAAATCATATGACTCTGATGAGAGTAACTTCAAACAAGCATGCACAAGAAATGTTCAGGCCTATTTTAATTTCCAGTTTATTATTCATATTATATATATATATATATATATATATATATATATATATATATATATACAAAGTGGCTTTCTTTCATAACTACAGAGACTCAGCAATAGGCCTTGGAAGAAGCAACTTATCTGAGTGCAGAATTCCCTCCTCCTCCACAAAATCCCAAGTCTATATTGGGATCTTATTTATCAGGCAAAACAGTATCTTGGGGGTTCTTCTTGTGCTGTGCTGCATATGATATTTATTCAATGGGGGGGGGGGAACAGCTGGAGAGAAGTAAAATAAATTCATATTTGAATAGAGATCCCACTTCTTTGCATCTCATCTTCTCAGTGACTCTTCATTTTGTTGTCTGCCAGGCATCCCAGCAAGTGACCATTTCATAGCTCCATAGTTCAAGCAAGCATGAAAATCTGTCAGTCTTATTTTTGTTCCATTTTTTTTCATAAATCCACCTTGCCATTCTCCTCCTGTCCACCTTGTGTACTTGGTTCTTCCTTCTGCAATTAAGTCTATGCTTTTTGTACACAGATTTTGAAAGTGCAAATTTTTACCATACAGTACATTTTCTGATTGATAAGCACATTTGTGCATGTTTTCCAAGCTATTAATTGAATTCATTTCTCAGATGTGTGCATGGTTTTCTATTTTTTTCTTTTCCAAAATGTGTTGCAAACCTTGCAAACATATACATTTCTGATATAAGACATGCTTCATCTCATTTCTAGTCTCAGGAAGTACAGCATGTATATTGGTGTAGAGAACTGCAAGTCCAATAGATTTATTTTCCATCTGTATTCATGGCTGTGAGCTGGTGTGGTGTAGTGGTTTGAATGTAGGCTAATAATACTGGGGACCAGGGTTCAATTCCCAGCTCAGCCATGAAGCCCATTGGGTGACCTTGAGCAAGTCACATGCTTTCATCCTCAGGGGAAGGAAATATAAAACTTCCTCTGAATAAATCTTGCCAAGAAAACCCCATGATAGGGTTGCCATAAGTTGAGAATGAAAGGCACACAAGAACAACAAATTCATAACTGCTCAGCTTTAGCCAGAAGACAGCACATGGCATTTTTTGGTGATTGTGTTGCAATTCTATTTGAAACATTCATGAGAATAATTTAAAAGTAAATAATATAAAGTTTCCTCTCTTACACTAAAACATACCACTTGAGGTGGGTAGCACATCCTGAACTATGAATCAAATATTTTTCAAGAGCTTGGAAAAATTGCTTTTTAGACTATACCACCCAGAATCTTACAGTCAACATGGCCAGTGGCTGAGATTCTGGAAAATGTAGCCCAAAAATAACATCCAACTCTGATCCTACTTGCTGGAATGATTTAACAGTCCATCCCAGCTGTGGAAAAATATTCAAGATTTTAAACTTTTTTGGTCTTTGCTTTTTTAAAAAATAGGTGAGGAATCTGAATGTTTATAGACATCCCATTTGGGAAAATTCATTCATCATTTTCAAATACATTTATTAAAACAGACTTTTATGCTCTGTAGCTTCTGAGCTAGTCTTAATCAGTTAAAAAATGTTTTGTTTCTTTTTCTGTTCAGTGTGTGTTTTGGTGCACGTTCTGTGAAACAATAGTACTGCCTTAACTTTACACTGTTCTTTTCTAGGGTGGTTCCACTCACTATTGTTCTACAAATTCATTCCACCTCCCTTCCGATGCAACATGGAGAATTTCTAAAATTACTTCTGGAGCTAGCACGTGTGCTGTTTGCAGCAGTTTTCATTTCCTTCCCTTAGTATCCCCCTCCTCCAATCTTACCCAGCTTGTTTAAGTGAGCACTGATGAAACAGCTTTTAGGAAAATATAAGCACAGGGTCAGAGGAGCATGCAGTCAAAAACTGATCAGACAAAAACTGATCAGACAAACACCTGAGTATACTGTGTTTCATCAGACTGTCTGAAAAACTGTATCTCCTTCTATAAGTTTTAAGTTTTAGGATCTTTGGAGAAACGTTTTCTCTCTGCCCTGTCACCTTCACAAGCAAATTTGGTGAGTGAAAGAGTCTTCTCAGTGGCTGCTCCTAACTTGAGGAATTCCCTCCCATGGGTAGCTTGGTTGACCCACGTCTCTTTCTTTCTACATTTGGTGTGAAGCCTAGGATCCAAACTGATATACTAAACAATAACTGGGAAAGTACCTTAGCCCTGAAGACCTTGAGGGTGGAAGGTATCAGTTGGCCACCTTTTGTAAAAAAGAAACAAACAATTGCCTTACTACTATTCGAAGGATTTTGAATAGCAATTTCCTGATGTGAAGTCCAGGCTCCAGATGCATTAAACGTAATTCCCAGATGTTTAAACTTCTTAACTTTCTCTATATTATGGTCATCAAACCTCCAAACATGTAGAGATCATTTCTTAGAGAAAAGTGTAATCTTAGATTTACTAAAATTAATGGTTAGGAAATTGTTTTCACAGTATTCAGTAAAAGCTCTCATTGCTCTCAGAAGTCCCACTTTTGAAAAAGAAAGGAGGGCAGCAGCATCTGCATATCAAAGTATGGGGATGCTAGTTAAGGCTAACATGGGAGGATGAGAGAAGAGGGTATAGCTGCAGGGAGATCATTAAGGTATAGAATAAAGAGGGTAGGAGCAAGGATACACCCCTGACATACACCTCTTGTAGCCTTGATGGTATTAGTGAGATTGCCCTGTGAGCCGCACCTTACACGTACCGTGGTTTTACTGTATAACTTCTTAATTAAGCCAAGTAGACTTTTATCAATAGAGGAAGCAAGAAGTTTTTCCCAAAGTTGTGTTCTTGGTATCAAATTGAATGCTGATTTCAAATCCATGAAAGCAACAAATAAACTACATTTGTG